CTTGAGTTCTATTCTCTCCATTTAATAAAGAGCAAATAAGACGTTATTTTCGTAACCCACAGTGCCACAGCCGCCAAAACAGTTTGCACGGTTAGTGCCGGGAGGATAAAACCTGAAATTACACACAAAAAATTAATTAATTAACAAACAGAAAAAAAAAAGAAAAGAAAATTAAATGCAAGCTCTTTCTCTTTCCTCTGTTGGTGCCAAAATCCCAATCATCTTTCTCCTTCCTTCCTTCCTTCCTTCCTCCCTCTCACTTCCCTTTTTGCTCTGCAAAATTTTAACCCTCAAATCTGTAAGTTACTTACGTTTCTTCATATTCAATTCATCCTGTTCTTTTTTTTTTAACTCCTGAGTTCCGGTTTTTTTTTTTTTTTTGGATTTTATAGATTTCAATTTATGATGTTAGAACTAGAATTATGGAGATCTGAAAAACCCTAGATCTCGCTTCTTGCTGGGTTAGTCTTCTCCTCGAATTTGGTTTTTTGGTTTATTGGATCTCGATGTTCGTGTAATTCTATCAGCTCATATTCCTACGGTTCGTGGTTTGGAAGACGGGATTTGTGTTATTGTGTGGACATTTCGAGGTTGAATTATTTGACTTCGTTGTTAGGTTGTCCGTGGTGGTGGTGGTGGTGGTTGTTGTTGTTGTTGGTTTTCTCTGTCAATGGCTTCGAATCCTCCATATCAGGTGGAGGATCAGACGGACGAGGATTTCTTTGACAAGTTGGTTGATGAAGATGACGATAGCTTGGGTTACACCGCCTCCAGATTTGAGGAGGGAAACGATTCCGACGATGCGAGAGCCTTTGCGAATTTAACTCTGGGTGAAGATTTAGGTGGTGAGGCTGAAAACGAGAAGGAAGGAGGAAAAGATAAGGTAGATGCAGTTTCAGAACCGATTAATGCTTGTGTTAGTCAAGGTAATAATGATTCCTTAGGATTTGATGATAGCGTTATGGATTCGAGTAATTGTAATCGTGAAGACGGAGGGTCAGAGGTTGGACCAGATTTGATCGTGAACAAGAGCAGTGGATCTGGCAATTCTGGGGTTAAAGAAGTAGGATGGGGTTCGTTTTATGCAGAATCTGGGCAGAAGGAAGAGCAGGGATTCGATTTTTTTAACGAATTAGGTGACAGTTCTTCCACGGATTTTCCTGGGATAGTGGAGGGAACTGCAAAAACTTATGGGTTAGATCACAACTTAGTTAATAATGGTGTTGTAGATCAAACTTTTGTCAGTGGTGGGCAGTATCAAGAAGGTGTTGGAGCATCTGTTGGGAGTGGTGAAATTGTGCAGGATGTGAATAACAGTCAGTATTGGGAAAATATGTATCCAGGATGGAAATATGATGCTAATTCTGGACAGTGGTATCAGGTGGATAGTTATGAGGGTGGTGTTCAAGGAAGCTTTGAGAGTTCAGGTGGTGATTGCATTGGGACTTCCAATGGGAAATCCGAGGTTTCCTATTTGCAGCACTCGACTCAGTCTCTTTCAGGGACTGTGACAACAGTAGAGAATGGTACCACAGAAAGTGTGTCAAATTGGAATCAGGTATCACAGTTGAATAATGGGTATCCAGAGCATATGGTTTTTGACCCTCAATACCCTGGTTGGTACTATGACATGATAGCTCAACAATGGTACACTTTGGAGAGCTACAATTCATCTTTTCAGTCATCCACTCAGTCCACCATTCAAGCTCATGATCAGCAGGATCAAAATGGATATGCTTCTATTGGTAGGTATACTCACGATAGTAATAGCAATGGTATATATGGTGACTATGGGCAAGCTGATAATTATGGGTCACAAGGCATTGGAGGTGAAAGGCAATATAGTAGCTGGGATGATAATCATATTCATCATAATAACAATAACAGTAATAATCAGGGTTTAAATATGTTGCAAACTGGAGCTTCTGTGAAGACTGAATCTTTTGCAAGTTCTGTTGGGTACCAGCAATTGGAAGGTTCTTTCCATTCAAAGATGTCCCTGAGCAACCATGTAGATCAGCAGAAGTCATCTTTTGATTCTCTGCAGGAAGTTCAGTTGTCTGCTAAAGCAAATCAAAGTTTTAGTGGAGCTAATGGTGTTATTGGGTTTCAAAGCTTTGTCCCAAGTCAAGAGTTTAATCAGAAATTATATCAGGGAAACGTGAAGCAAAATGAACAAATGCATTTCTCAAATAATTTCTATGTCAGTCAGAATCCTGTGAATGTTACTCAACAACCATTCCATGGCAGCCAGCAGTTTGCTCATGTTTCTGACTTAGGAAGATCATCTGCTGGTCGTCCTCCACATTCCCTTGTTTCTTTTGGATTTGGTGGAAAACTTATTGTAATGAAAGATGCCAGTTCTATCCAGACCTCATCGTTTGGTAGCCAGGTTAGAACCTCTATAGTGTTTTCTATCTGGTTCAATTTTAAATATCTATTTTGGTTGCCAATATTCAAGCAAGAAATATGAAATTCCTGAGGTTATTTTTCTTGTCTTGGGTTTTGAAAATAGAAAGTGTCCTTTTCAGTTGAATGGCTGAACCATTTTTTTGTATCTTGAGTGGCAAATCTAAACACCATTGCTTAATCTTGATATAGCTAATCATGTATAACTATTTTCATGTAAAGGGTTCACCGGGAGGCTCTATTTCTGTTCTGAATTTACTGGAAGTTGTCAATGGAAACACGAATGGCTCTGGTTCTGGACTGGGAGCCTGTGATTATTTTCGTGCTCTTTGCCAACAGTCCTTTCCAGGTCCATTGGTTGGTGGAAGTGTTGGAAGCAAAGAGTTGAACAAATGGATTGATGACAGAATTACAAACTGTGAATCACCTGACATGGCCCCTAGAAAGGGAGAAGTTTTGAGGTTGCTTCTCTCTCTGCTTAAAATAGCTTGCCAGCATTATGGTAAACTTCGATCTCCTTTTGGTAGCGACATTGCATTGAAGGTAAATGCCTTCTTTCATCATCCTAACTTTTTTTGTTTATTTGATTGTGATTATTTACATCCCAGTTTTCCTACTATATCAGAGTAACTGCATACTGGGAAGATGCATATCATGTAGTTTATATTAAATTCTATTCTAAGTAACCCTTTTCCACAGGATTTCTCCTTTGTATTTGAATTTAGTATGCAACTCGGAATAGCCAATTTTTATTAGGCGCCAGTTAAAATTTTGGTTTGTTCTGTAAACATCAGCTAGAAAATTCTTTTAATCTCCCTATCCATATATATTTTTTCTTCCTTTGAAATTTGCACTTGGTTGAGATCAAGAAGCTGAAGCCTGGTGGTATTAAAGCTTTTCAAATGGTAGTATAAGGTGTCCCTAAAATCAGAGACCAATAAAGATGTCATTTTGCTTTCTTCTTGTTAATGCTATAAATTATTGAAAATGAAAGAATGGCAATAATTTGAGAAATGACGTTGTGTCACAGCTGTATTAAAAAAAAAATTTTAAGTTCAGTGATTGTAAAAAATTCACTTTGTTCAATTCAAGTTTTCTACACAAAAGGGCAAGTGGTGCCCAAATGGTATTGTTTAGAACAAGCAAGCAGTTGGCTCAAGTGAGCTGCTGAGCTTTTCTTTACTTTTCTTTCCTTCTTTCTTCTTCCTTTCTTCCTTTTTTTTTTTTTGTTTTTTCCATTGGGGATGCTGGACTAGAAGTGGGGAGGGATAGGTAATAGCTTGCTCTGTTGCTCTAGCTTTTGAGGATTTTCATTGTCTTTCTTTTTAGCATCTTATCTTATTTTATTTTATTGTGTTTCTTTTTCTCCTTTTATAGGAGAGTGATACTCCAGAATCAGCAGTTGCTAAACTCTTTGCATCTGCAAAAAGGAACAGTGCGCATTATGGTGGTCCTGGTTGTTGCTTCCAGCCATTGCCTTCTGAGGGGCAAATTCGGGTATGCCATAAATCTACTGCAGCAACTGACTTTACCATGGGCAATTTTATGATATTTTCTTTCTTTATCTATGTTCTAGGCAACTGCTTCAGAGTTACAGAATCTACTGGTCTCTGGTAAAAAGTATGAGGCTCTACAATGTGCACAAGAAGGTCAATTGTGGGGACCTGCACTTGTTCTTGCTTCACAACTTGGTGATCAGGTTTGCTTTCTGTTTTGCATATCATCTGCTACATATCTGGTTGTTCTTGTTCAAGGATGAATTTCAGTCTACTGTCGATGTGCTTCACTGTTGACTTTGGATAAATGCAGTTCTATGTTGATACTGTGAAGCAAATGGCACTTCGTCAGCTGTTACCGGGGTCACCGTTACGGACATTGTGCCTGCTAATTGCTGGGCAACCAGCTGAAGTGTTCTCTCAGAACAGCACAGCTAATAGCATTAATATGTCTCAACAGCCTGCACAGGTGATGGATTTATCGATGAGATATCGATTGGAAAGCTTATTGATTGGAAGAGGGATCAAAAGTTTGAGGAAATACCACAATATTAGTTGCCATAAGCATAGAACCTTATTTCTTTTCCTTCTTATTGGGAATTTTTAATTGGAAATTGGATGTTAACATTGAAGAACAAGAGAACACACCAGGAACAAAGCTAAAATAGAATAAAGGAGATTGTGTTTTAAATAATTTTGGTAATGCTGTTTCATGTAGTTTTGTGGAAAGATTAAGTAATAGGTTCTTTTGGCTCAATGAGTATTTTGAACCTTTGGAAAAAATTTGTTCTGATTCAGCTATTGTTACTGTTATCTTTTGTTCTTTTTTTTTTTTTGGTCCTTTCAGATTTGTAATTTTACATGTCTTTTCAAATTACTCTCTTTGTTTGGAATGCATTTTCTATTAAGTAGCTGAATGCTTCTAACTGTTTTATTTTCTTTCACTCTGAACAGTTTGGGGCTAATTGCATGCTTGATGATTGGGAAGAGAATTTGGCTGTAATAGCGGCAAATAGAACCAAAGATGATGGGCTTGTGCTTATTCATCTTGGAGATTGCCTGTGGAGAGAAAGAAGTGAGGTACTGTAATATTTACTGTAGATTATTACATTCTTAGTGCATTCAACGGAAGCATACACTGGTGAATCTTACTTGAAAGCTTCATTTCAGATAACTGCTGCCCATATATGTTATTTGGTTGCGGAAGCAAACTTTGAGTCATATTCGGATAGTGCAAGGCTCTGTCTTATTGGAGCGGATCATTGGAAGTTTCCCCGAACCTTTGCTAGTCCTGAGGCTATCCAGGTGCCCTTTGATTTTATGTTTCAGTTGTGCATGGTCTTCTTTACAGAAGTCTACAAGACTTTCATTTCTCTCTTAATTATGCATATGGTTGTTTGAAATCTTGTTCCTATTGTAAACCTGGTAGTTCTGGACCCATTATAATCGCTTGATTCTAGTTAATTTACAATATAATATACTGATTGGAGGGTGTTTTTCTCATAGCACTCCTTTGTTAATTTCCTTATGCCAATGAGGGCCATATTCCTTGCAATTTATTGCATGATACGTAAGTCTCATCTCTTCATTGGTATTCAATTAAATTCATGTTGAACTGATGTTGCCCCACATGAAGTATGGTGGATTTTAATAGTAATATACATTTTTTAATGGCAAGGAATATGGTCTTCTCAGTTTATATTTCTAACCCTACTAAATTGATTGGATGGGTGGTCTAATTACAGAGAACTGAGTTATATGAATATTCAAAGGTGCTGGGAAACTCTCAGTTCATCCTGCTGCCATTTCAGCCATACAAACTCATATATGCTCATATGCTGGCTGAAGTTGGAAGGATTTCAGATTCATTGAAGTAAGCATGTTAAAATTGTTTCTCTGTGATGTTTAATGCAATTCTACCTTTTTGTTTTTAACTTGAGGAATTAATACAGGTACTGTCAAGCAGCATTAAAATCTCTGAAAACTGGCCGGACCCCTGAGGTAGAAACATGGAAGCAATTACTTGTATCTCTCGAGGAAAGGATTAGAAACCATCAGCAGGTATGTGTTATTTCCTCATTGTGTATTTTCATTAACTTTCCATCATACTTACTGGGCAACTTTCAGGGTGGATATGCTGCTAATTTGGCCCCAGCTAAATTAGTTGATAAATTGCTGAACTTTGTTGTTGGTGGCCATCCTCCATCTGCACCATCAACATCAGCAGGAAATTCTCAAGGCAATGAACTTCATCACCAGCTGGCAGGCCCTAGAGTATCATCAAGCCAACCAACTATGGCTATGTCATCGTTAATGCCTTCTGCTTCAATGGAGCCTATAAGTCAATGGGCAGCTGATGGCAACAAAATGACAATCCATAATAGGAGTGTTTCAGAACCAGATTTTGGTAGAAGTCCTAGACAGGTGCATAATTATCCCAAAATGAGAGTTTTATTGACAAGTTATGTGGCTGTTTGATGTATTCTTGAATAATCCAAGCTCATACTGACTGCTGTTTGGATCAGGTTGATTCATCAATGGAAGTGGCATCATCTAGTACAGAAGGCAAGGCATCTCGTTTTGCTCGTTTTGGTTTTGGCTCACAGATTTTGCGAAATACTGTGGGGTTAGTCTTAAGGCCTCGTGCTGATAGACAGGTAAGCTTATTGAATTATTCTTTCATATTGTGGTTTAGTAATATTTTCCTGTTGCATTATAAATATATGCATAAACTAACTACCTTTGTTTTGTCTTTTGAAGGCTAAACTGGGTGAAGAGAATAAATTTTATTATGATGAGAAGCTAAAGAGATGGGTAGAGGAAGGTGCTGAAGCCCCGGCTGAAGAAGCAGCCTTAGCACCACCTCCAACAACAGTGGCATTCCAGAATGGAATGCATGAATACAACTTGAACTCTGTGCTTAAGAATGAGGGTTCACCCACTAATGGAAGCCCAAAATTTAGAAATACAAATTCAACAGAACATGCCTCTGGAATCCCACCTATTCCAACCAGTTCTAATCAGTTCACAACTTGGGGGCGGATGGGTGTTAGGGCAAGGTAAATAAGAAGTTGTTCATACCTCTTCTTCTTTTTCCATTTTTTTCTTTTTTTTTTTTAATAAAATTTACCATGATGCCTTTGATGTGATAGAAGAAAATTGTTGGGGGAGAAGGATAAATTACAAAAATGATTAAGGTTTGTGTGTGTCTGTATTCGTTTGGTTATTGGTTATCAGTATCATGTGCTAAGAAATATATAAAATATTGACTATATTCTATGAGAATAGGTGGGTAAACAACTTTCACTGCAGATGTCATTGGTGGATGGGATATTCCTAGTTTTCTATGTTGTACTAATTTATCCATGATTGTCATTCAACTAGGTTAATTTTATAGTTTTGCTAGGCTTAATTTTCTTTTGGTCTGATCTCAAACCTAAATGTGATATTTTATGTTTCACGTATTTGATTTCCTAAGTAAAATTGATTAAAATGTTTAAAAGATGTACATGTTTCTCTTTTCTAAAAGTTGTGTGGTAATTTGGAATTGCTACATGTAAAATCTGATATGACTGAATTATATTTGAAGTTACATTTTCTTCCCTTCAGCTTTCACATGATGGGTGTAAATCAATCTTTTGATAATACATGTTCACAAACTTGACAGGTATGTTGACACTTTCAACAAAGGTGGAGGAAACCAGGCAAATCAATTCCAGTCACCTGCTCTGTCCTCAGTTAGGCCTGCTGCTGCTGCTGTGAATGCAAAGTTTTTCATTCCTGCCCCAACATCAACAGCTGAACAGACGACTGAGGTGATAGCAGAAAGTACACATGATGTAAATGCATCTAATAGAAATCCGTCAACATCTATTGAAAATGACTCTTTCCAATCTCCCTCACCATCCACATCAATGACCATGCAAAGGTTTCCAAGTATGGATACCATTGACAGGAAAGGCTCTGTGGAAAATAACAATGCCAATGGATTACAATCTCACCCAAGACGCAGGGGCTCATGGGGTGGAAGCTTTGGTGGTATGCAGGGTCATCCTAATATGGCTGAAATGAAACCTCAGGGAGAAGCATTTGGAATGCCTCCATCATTTATGCCTAGTCCAGTGAATGGCAGTAGCAATTTTGGAGATGACTTGCATGAGGTGGAGCTTTGAGCCAGAGTTGCAAAGATGTACATATCAAGTTTTGTTCCTGCGATAAATACAGTACTTTCCTATTGTCTCGTTTACGCATACACCACAAAGGCCGTACACATCAAAGATGGTGTGCCCTAGAGGAGGAAACAAGGTCTCTTCCTTCTCTTAAGAAAAAGTAAAATCCCTCTCCTACTAAGCTTCCTGATTCCTTTCAACCTTCTGCCTTTGTATTTTAAGTTGGTTATCAAGTTGTACTTCTAGGATCAAGGAGAATTTTTTTCCTTTTTTGATTTTTTTTTTAGAATCTGTATGTCTGAGCGCTTGGGGAGCTAATTTTTTTCCTCTAGAAAACAACAGAAGCCTGAACAGGCATTGCTGTACAGTTCATTTGTTAATTTTTTAATCAAGAATTCCCTTGAGGAAAGTAGAAAGGTCTTCAGGGAACACTCAAGGTATGAAAATGCAAAATTTCATTTTGTATGGTCAAACCAAATGATGGCAAAATAAGAAAAACTATTATCTTTCTGTTGCATAAATCTTTCTGTTGCATAAACAAGGCAAAGGCTTTATTTACACTTTATACAGTCTTTTTCTTTTCGTGCTTGACACGCTAAATTAATTTTTGTTTAAATTTAGTTATAATTTTTATTTACACGTTAATTTTATAGCCAAGCTCTCTTTTTACACCATAATTTTATTAGTAATTTAAGGTTTTTTTTTTTTTTTTAAATTTAAATTATAAAAGATATTGATCGAATAAAAATTAATTTAGGATATTAATCACAAAAAAAAAAATTTGTATATAGAACAAATAAGAGGATTGATCGCATAACTAATGTTTTCATGAAGTGTCTTATTTAATGATTTGAACTATAAAATAAAAATTATTAAATAAAAAATAAAACTCTCAATATCAGAAGATTCACCCCACCCCATTGAATGATTATAGTTGTACAATCTAACATAATTTAAACTTTTTTCTTAATTAAATGTTAGGGGATTTGGCCAACGAAGAATGAAAAGATTGCACTTGATGTTTTTCCCCCTTTTTGTATTATGTCCACCTGATATTCGGCCACTTTCATGGACCAAGAATAAAATGAAGTAATGAAGAGCAACAATATTAGTTATTATTTGAACTATTTCATTTCGACATTGCTTTACAAAAGGAATGGCTAAAAGCAGCTCACTAGGATTTGAAATTCTTTACTTGAAAAAATTAAACGTAAACAGAGCAACAGGTAACATAAAAATCTCCTCAAGAACTGTAAAAAACCAACATGGTATGTATCCACCTCTAGAATTCAGCTGAACCTGGTGTTCGCGGAAAAGGTATTGCATCTCTTATATTCTCAATTCCAGTTGCAAACTGCACCAGTCTTTCAAAGCCCAGTCCAAAGCCGGCGTGAGGAACTGATGTGAAGAAATTCAGGAGATTAGGAGCCAAATGCTTAAAATATTATCTCAAGCAACTTATGGTAGATGCAATGAAATGGTTACAACAAAAGACACATGATATAATTTTTCTTTTGTGACTAACCTCTGAAACAAACACACCAGAGATATAGAAGAGAAACATCATAAAGTTGGAGAAAACTATCCTAGAAGATAGGAAAATTGTCAAACTGCAATAATATTATCAGGGATTGAAGAACTTTGTGGAGAAGGATCTCTAACCTGAACCATAACGACGCAGATCAAGGTACCACCAGTAGCTGTCCCTATTCAGCTTCAACTCATCTAAACGATTTTCCAGATAGTCAAGCCGGTCTTCTCTTTGACTTCCACCAATAAGCTCACCAACCTGAGAAAAAAACAGTTACAGTAGCAATCATAAGTTGCCAATCCAAGAGGAAATGTACAAGCAAAGCTATAACAGAAGAGCATCAAAGTAACTACATAAGTGCATTCATTACTTAATAATAATGTGGTAGTACTTTCTCAAATCCAGGATATCATACTTTCCTTTTCTTGAGGTATCATCATAGATGCTCTCTATAAAGACTCAAGGCCATAAATTCTTGTATCTTCACAAATGAATTTGGATATGAAAAGGATTTATAAAGTCACCATATTGATTGCACTCACTTTGTTGACAATAATGTTAATTCACATTGGAAACATTCTACTTACCCGAGGTACCAGCATATCCATGGCTGCTACAGTGTTCCCATCATCATTTTGGCGCATATAGAATGCCTTGATTTCCTGCAAGTTTTTACATTAAGCAACTTCAGACTTTTATACAAAATGCAGGAAAATATGTAATCACTTCCTAGTTCCTTTCTTCTACAAATAAACAGAGAGATTAGAGAACAACACTCTATACCTTTGGGTAGTCTCTGATTATAACAGGGCACCCATTAAATTCCTGTTCAGTTATGTAGCGTTCATGCTCACTTTGCAAATCACATCCCCATTTCACCTGCAAAGAAGTTCAAGTCAACAACAACAACAACAGCAACAACAAGATGTTGATAAAACAAACAGCAAATGGCCTTCCCTGGAAGCAGATACACTAAATGATAACATTGAAAATAGACTGATATTGACATTCATTCCATTCACTTTCCTAAACTCATATTCTAAAAGTTCCATTGACAAGAAGCAGAAGTAGAAGATAACTATGCAGTACCGGAAATTCAAATTTCTTTTTCGCCCTTAGAAGAAGCTTGATTGCCTCAGTATAAGTTAACTGAACAAAATCTTTCTCAACCACATCCTGTTGATCAGAGAAATATCATTCAGAGAAGATGACGAGAAATGTAGAGAGAGAGAGAGAGAGAGAGAGAGAGAGAGGAGAGGGAGAACAAAAAAGTCAATAAGTTGAAAGTGAAGACCATACGGTCAATCGATCAATGATTCCTTTCTCAATCCAGGTGTTGAAGAAGTCCATGTCTTCTTTGCAATTTTCAAGGACATGTCTCACCTTCCATGCATGAAAAGATTACATGCTATTATAAAATTCACTAAGATAGATACTAGTATCAATAAAGGAAGTTGAAAATGTTTCCCTCTTGCTTGGGACGGTAGAATCTGCTAGAAAAAGAGTCAGATTGAGAATAGATGTGAAAAGTAACATACTACATACTGGAGATAGGCAGTTGCACAGGCCATGTCATCATTCAGATCGGCAAATGCAAGTTCTGGTTCAATCATCTATACAAAGGGTGAAAATTCAAAGATGACTGGAAGGACTGAACCAGGGAAAAGAACAAAAACAGAACTAGAAGATAAAAGTTACAAGACTAAACTTAAAAAAGAAAAAAAAAAACTTACCCAAAATTCAGCTAAGTGCCTAGATGTGTGAGAATTTTCTGCCCGAAATGTGGGACCAAATGTATACACCTGACAAAGTAATATTGTATTATTTCTCAATTGTTTCTTTCCAAGTTATTAAAAAATGAAGCATAAGGGGAAATATACATCTGAAAGAGCAGTAGCATATGTTTCGCCATTAAGTTGGCCAGAGACCGTCAAGAACGCTGGTTTCCCAAAAAAGTCCTGGCATGTTAGACAGTTAGAGCATGAGGCAAGAATAACATTAGTGGCTTTCAAAAATAGAACATGCTTTCACAAAGACGAAGACTACAGACAATGAACATTAAGTATTGATTCATCTTGAATACTATCAACTGATTTGCCCTAACTTGGAGTTCTTTGAAGCTGGGAAGTGAAGATTAGATTTTAGAATCCAAATGAAAATCATACTTGTGACCAATCAACTAATCCATCCTCTGTTTTTGGAATGGCATCCACAGGAGAGTGGTCGGCTTCTTGGGAGCTGGGAATCTGTTGCAAAAAAGAACAATAAAGCAAACAAATAGCCAGACATGTGATAGGAAATTGTTAGTTGCTAAAACATAACACATAACATATAAAATAAATAGCCATAACAAAAAGCTCAATTCTCTAAAGTTAAAAGTTCATACCAAAGTAGTAACGCAGAACTGTTCACCTGCTCCCTCACAATCCGAAGCTGTAATAATAGGACTTGAGATCCAGACAAACCCATTTTCTTGAAAAAACTTATGTGTAGCATAAGCCAAAGCATTCCTCACCCTCGCAACCTAATCAGATTAGCACCATTAGTAGAGAGACATGTATAGCTGAACATACAAAAGGATAAAATGAAAGGAGAAGAACCATTATTGGATAAATTCACATGAGCAAAGAAACAATTATACCATGTTAGCAAGGAAAATAAATATGTTGCAACCATGGCAAACTCAAAGAAAAAACTTACTGCACCAAATGTGTTTGTTCTAGGACGAAGATGAGCCTTACTTCTCAAAAACTCTCTGCTGACTCTCTTCTTTTGAATGGGAAAGGAAGGATCACACTGGCCAACCTATGAAAAGCAATGGTCATACCTAGTATCAATTGACCACTTCAGCTAGTGCTTCAGGTAGGAAGGATGATTAAATTCCTATCTTGACCAGAAAAGGAAAAGAAGAAAATAAGTATCATACCACCACGATTTTGTCAACCTTCAATTCCACCTTCTGCTTTGATCCTTGGCTAGTTACCAATACCCCTTGCACCCATATAGATGCACCAGTTGAAATCAAGCCAGATTCTACCTAAAAGCTTGAAATATAGATAATTGGCAACTAGATACCGTATGTCAAGATACTAAAGAGAACTCTTGCAGTGAAAAAATAAAAAGACAAATTAACACAATCCAGGCTAGACTCAGAACAGGCTCAAAGAATCCATCAGCCAAAATTTAACAAGCCTCATTGGGTATAGAACTTATAATCCAGTGAAAGCAAAAATTATAGCATTCTGCATATATCAAACACAAATGTTTGTTGGTAGAGGTGCATGAATTTGCATCAATGTACAGCTCATGAACGTACCTGGTCATAACCTTCTGCGTCCGAGTCCATCACACATTGCATGTTTGAGAGACATGAACCATCGTTTACCTGTAAATTAGGCGCCTCACTAGCTCAACCATAACAAACAAGCTCCGAAAAATAAAATGGCAGTGTCAAGAATGGATTTTGCAACCAGGGTTACCTCAATGAATGTGATGCTGCTTTGAGCCCTGAGGGTTCGAACCCAACCCGCAACCACCAGCGTCTGCCCGACCCGATTCAACCCTTCATCTGGCCCTCCCTTTATATCGGCAATCTTCAGCTTTTTTCTAAACTCCCCAACTTTGCTCGCCATTTCACTTCCTTTCTTTTCCAAAGCTTCCATTTTCGTCGTCTCCCCTGAGTGGAGCGCCCTGGCAATCACGGAGGAGAAGCATCCCCGCCGAGGAATAGCCGAAGAAAATGGGAAATGTCCACGAGGGACTGGCGGGAAAGCCCGAGGCTTTGTTGGAATTTTAGAGCAGATGGAGATGAAGCGGAGAGTGAGGCATGACTTGGACCGTAGAGAAGCAGCTGGTGCAGCAGCAGCCGCCATTTTGCGCTTCTCCTCTGTTTGGCTTGGATTGGGTTCTCGCTGTCTGGTTGTCCTTCAAATAACTCTTTTTCTAAAAATTAAAAAAATAAATAAATTAACCAACAAGTTTATTTATTTATTATAAAAAGATGAAAATCACCAAAATATAACTGTTCTTAACAAATTTATTCTGTATAAGGATTATAAGAATCCTCAAGTAAGCTCTCAAACCTTTTCTCTATTTGCAATTAAGCCCTTAGGTTCCTTTTAGGTTTAGGCAATGCCAAATTGGAAATGAACTCACTCAATTGAGTTAATTTATCAGCACAATAGGCTCAAAAGTCAAGCATGTTACACTATGATAGTTGCTGCATTATTTGTCTTTTTCATTATTCACTAGTTATATTAATGTAGTAGTAGTTTGTCATTAAAAATTAAGGACAAAATTAAGAAGACATTTAAGGTAAAGCTTTTTTTTCTTTTAACTCTAATTATAATTTTTTTTTTTTACTCTATGAAGGGATTTAGAGTAGGGCCTTTGGCCTTGTTGTTTCTTTTCTTTGCAACTTTGCTCCTCCTAATTTTTTTTTATTCCTTAGTTTTTGAGGCTTGAATAAGACTTATACCTAACTATAATTCCATGTAATTTTGCTCATAATTACTATATTGTTTTTATTGAGAAATTCACATCAAAATTATCCTAATTTAACATACAAGAATTTTATTTGTCTTTAAAATAATCATATTATCTTCATTCAACTTTAGTTGTTAACTTTTCTTTATATATTTATAGAAATTTTTTTTATTTATTACCTAGTTAAAAAACATAATTATTAAAACTTAAATTTTACATTTACACTTAAAAGTACTTTTACTAAGAAAAATCTTTTCTAATTTAATTAGAAACCCCTTAAAAAATTGTGATAATTGAAGTAATAAATGAATCAAAATATGCGATTGGGTTGATGTTCATTGATCACATGCCGGCCTACTCCGACACAAATTTATAATTTGGGGCTTATGTCTCCAAGTTGACAAATTGAAGGCCTTGCCTTAATAAATAAACTGATCTGAAACCCATATTGGTTTCACCGGCGGACAAAGTCAGGTTTTGCGGCTCGCAGTCCTACAGCTTCCCTAACCCCTACTCAGTTGCCCTCCCTCCCTCCCTCGCAGTCCCACCCACCGGCACCGCAAATAGTAAAGACAGGAAAATCAGAAACCGATACTTCCAAATTCGACGATAGACGAAAGAGGAATTTGCGCTTCCAGTGGAGAAATGGCTGATCACTCCGACGATTTAGACCAACTTCTTGATAGTAAGTCTCCGTCTCCGACAACTTTCTTCTTTCCCTTTTTTCCCTTTAATTTCTTTCTTAAACCCCTGATATTACAACCTATTTCAGGCGCCTTGGATGATTTCCAGAATCTCAACCTTACTCCTCCCCCTCAAAGGTGTCTCTCTCTTTCTCACTATACAGGAATACGTTTTAAATTACAATTTTATTCAATATTCTAGTTTCTGTTTTAGCTCCAGGGTTTAACTACCCATTGTTTATTCTGTAAAATTTTGCTCAAAAGCTTGATCCTTTTTGGAATTTATAGGTAAATTTTAGCCTTATATTTGTCTATCCGTTTGTGGGTATTTGTTGAAGTAGTTTTTCTTGTCTTTCTTAAAATATGGATACATCTTAAGCTTCAGGTCAGCAGAGCTTTGCCCTTTCTTGGACACGCTATGAAGTGCTAAATTTCTCGTTTTTGTTCACAATGTATTTGAAAAGCTTAAACTTTTACTAACAATTCTAACTTTTTTAGATTACGTCTGATTGCAGAAATGGAGGAGGAGTTGGCAAAGAAAAGAAGCAAGAATCTGCTTCCTTGCCTACTGAGGTTAGGGGATTGGGAATGGGATTGCCTGACTTGAAGAACAAGAAAAGGGGGAAGCAAAACGTTGCCAGAGATTCTCATGTTACCGAGGCTCTTGATAAGCTCATGGAACAGACTAGAGAAACTGTAAAGGGATTGGAGTCAATGGTGAAAGATGGTGAAGATGATTTTGGCGAAGATGCAGTGGTGGAGGATTGGATCAAGCAATTTGAGGAGCTTGCTGATGGCTCTCAGGTATATTTTCTCAATCTTGGTCTTTATTTCCCTCTTATACAGGCATTAATTTGATTTTCTACCAACAAGAGCTTGGCTGAGTTGATACTTAAAAACCTTAATTTGGGGTGAAGGTCAGAGATTCAAACCTCTATGATGCTAAGTAGTTAACCCTCCAATGTACCAAAATTTTCTTCTTTTTTTTTTTTTGATTTTCTGGTGATTTTTTTGTTTTGAGTTATCAATGGGATATTGTTCAGTTTTACTTATTTGATGGTTGTAGTCTTAATGAGTTTGCTGAACAGCCTGAACTGTATTTGGAAAATGCACATGGTTGTCCTTCAGGGAACCTCTGCATTCATGTGTCAAAATTAGTAACCACTACCAAAGAGCCTTCTGCCATGTTGTTACACTTGCTTGTGTTGCCTACTGCACTAGGAAGATATGTTTTGCATGGCATCTTGTTGTATAAAAAAATAAAGGCCTCTTCCTATCTGATTGAACGGAAGTTTCTTTGAGAAATAAGTATGTGGTTTCAAAGCTTCCGTCTTTTGAGATCATCTAAGTTTCATTTGCTTCACACAATAGTGACAATCATGCACCAACACCAAGGGAGCTTAGTTTTTGATATTTATCTAGAAAGTTATGCTGTTTGAAGCCAAACTTAGTTGGTTAATTCAGCCAATCACTATGAGCAGTTTTGGCAATTATATGATATCAGGATTGTAGACTTAGATCTCATCTTCTCTGCTAATATTCTACTCAATGCTCTCACATATTTTAAAATTTATTTAGTCTTCATAATTTGTCATACATTGCAGGAAGAAATACTAAACCATTTATTTGATTTGACCAGAATATGGAATCAATTGTGGAGAACATGATGCAGCAACTTTTGTCTAAAGAGATTCTTCACGAACCCATGAAAGAAATTGGTGACAGATACCCAAAATGGTTAGAAGAGCATAAAGACGGTTTGAGCATTGAGGAATATGAGCGTTACTCCCGTCAATACCAACTTATACAGGAGCTTAATATAGTTTATGAAAATGAACCAAACAACTTCACCAAGATTTTCGATCTCATGCAGAAAATGCAGGAATGTGGTCAACCACCAAACGATCTTGTGCAAGAGCTCTCTCCAGATTTAGATTTATCTACACTTGGCCAGCTGTAAGTAACCCTGCGTTTCTGATGGTTATAACTTATAATATCATATCACACATAAGGACTCAATTGTTTAGTTTCAATAGAGTTGGAGAGTGTTTCATGTCTGCTGAATAAACATGTTCATTTCTTGGTTAACATTCAGAAGACTTACTCTTCTTCATGGCTAACCAATTACACCTTCTAATTGCAGGTCACCAGAAATGCTCGAGTCACAACAAAACTGTTGTATAATGTGAGGCTTTATGTTCCTCCTGTTGTCCAATCTCTGGATGCTACTTTACCTAAATCTTATGGATATTCTTTTAAATACATTTATTTGAAATAAAATACACGTCCAGGAAAAGGGTACTTATATATATCATAACCGAATGCTACTTTGCAGTCGGCACAAGCAAACTGCGCTTCACTTTTCTAATATTATAATGTATACATATACATTCATCCAGCATGAAAAATCTTCTCCAATTTTTTTTTCTACTGTTAGTACTTTTTTTTTTGGTTTCTCGCCTGGTATCCGAGGCTTCGCCCCGATTAATCCAGACCCGACTTGCGTCGCGCATCTGGAAATGGTGGGTGAGTCTCCCAGCGGGGGCTGCTGCATACACAAGGATTCAAACTCGAGACCTTGCTTAAGCTGGAACAAGCCGCTTACTACTTGATTCAACCCCTTATTGGTTCTACTGTTAGTACTTATTCCTTCTGAAATCTGAGCATCCATTTTATTACTTCAATAAACATTAGAAAAAAAAATTACATTATATCTCTGTGAAAGAACCAATGAATTACAATGAATGAAATCTGAATCAAATATACTTCCAATTATGAAAAATAAACATGATGGTAATGTGTAAGTTGCAGGGTAGTCCAGCTTAAGCATCCCATGGTGCAATCCAGTGACGGCCATTAACGAAACTCTTTGCTAGGAATGGATGGGCCGAATCATAATCCAGTTCTTTAGCCCATGACAGTCCACGAACGGCTGCTGCCCCTGGCCCATAACACTTGTACACCCCAAAAAACGCAGTCCTGCATTAAAATAAGAAAATAAATAAAAATTCAATAATTAAATTAAAAATTATGAAATAAATCAAAATTAAGAGAAGTGGATAATGGGTATTACTTATTTTTATTGCTGACGTGGTCCCAATCATCCCAGCCACCGTGTGCAACCAGATTGTCAAAGTAGGTGTAGGAATACACAATCCTCGAATACTGGCCCATAGCTCGGCCCACATAGACCGGGCCTGTACCCGTTACCCTGCACCGCAGGAAAGCAAAGCCTGTCTTCTCTTCGGGGGATTTCCTACCATGGGCCGCAATGGACCCAAATCTCGTGGCTATTGAATGCAGATCGCAGTCCTACAAAGCCCACCAAAAGTTAAAAAAAAAAAAAAGAAAATTACAAAAAAAGATTCGTACCATTACACTGACACAAAAAAAGAGTACAGCATGTGAAAGAAAAAGCTTTTTTACTTTTTAGCATTATTTTTTTCTTTGTGTACTAAAACTTTGTTTTTTAGTTTTCATATATACCCCAAAAAAGTCCGACACTCTACTATGGTCCATGCCATGAATTCTAAATTAAAATTATTTATTTTCTATGAATCACGTGTTTGTAAGTGGGGTTAATGTCATTTACCTCTTGTAAATAATGAGTTTGAATTCACGAATCTTATTTTTTTTATTTAATTAATATATGTAATTAATTTTAATATAATAAAAATATATATACCCAAAAAAGTCAGCAGAAATATACATGTCATAGAAAATGCAATGTCCTTTTTCGACTGCTAGTACTGCTCATTTCCATATCAATGTCTATCTGATAAGAAATCACGAGCACATTTTCTATTTTTATATATTTTTTATTTTCTCTTTTCTATTTAATTATATTCTATCCACTATATTCAAAAAAATTATATTCTATCCAAGGTGCGGAAGAGGAAGATAATGAAAAGAAATTAAGTTGCCTTACTTTGTACATGGACCGTCCATTTCCAAAAATAAAGTCTATCGAGCCCTCAATGTAGCACTCCTTGAAGTAATGCCGGCCTGCATCATCACAAAGAGTGTCTTGTGCGCCGTAGAATCCACAGCCGGAGAAGTATGCCTTGTCGCCGGATATACGAAACGCCGCCGCTTGCCACCCTTGCATCCCTGGCATCGGTGCCGGTGCAGTATTCTGCTCTTATACATTGTCAGTAATTACATCCATACACACAAAAACAATGGAGCACACCAACATTCCACAACAATTTATAGTTTAGTACGGACGAAATTAACGTAGATAATATCCGGCGGCACTTTAGAGAAATTTTAGTTTTATTTACCTTGAAGCTTATGTTTCTGGCGGAGAAATAATTAGCGTAGACGGTAACAGATGCAGTTTGGTAAGTGCGCAGCTGCTGGCCATTAGGACCACGGTCCAAGGCTCGGTCATGCCATTCCATGAACGTGACGTCCCTCCCCGCACCCTGGAACGTGATGTATGGTTTTGCTACCGGAACCACCACCTTCTCTCTGCGCAGCCGCCACACAGTGCTCATGTTAATTAATTAAGTACGCTTAAAGCACTTAAAATGATAACCCCCCAAAAAAAAATAATAATAACAATTTACATGTAATATCCAGCACTGATTCGAATTTCTACGTTCATCCTATTGTTCTCTGGTACGGAATTCACGGCATCCTGCACCGACCGGAAATCGCCAAGCCCGTTGACGTCGACGAATATCACACGGTGGCCGACGGGTCCCACCCACTTATGGCGATGCCTCGTTGTGTTCGTAGAACCTGCCGGAGCAATGCCTGAGGCCGAAGCTAACAATGGAAAAAAAGAAAAAAAAGAAAAAGTCAGAAAGAAGTAAGAAAAACAGCAAGAGAAGAAGCACAAGGAATTAAGAAATGCCATAAATGAAATAGAATCAATTCAAGATGGTCAAGAAAATAAGGAATATATTGGGAAATCCTTGAATCAATTAAAGAAATGAATTTAATCCTTCGTTGTTTGCTTTGAAGAACTTTTATGATGCAAGAACGTGAAGAGGGATTGAGAGTGGATGACTAATTTATAATGTCAAAATATGTGTGGAAAAGGGAATTATTTTGGGTTTTTTTAGTAACGGTCATTTTTCTACCCATACTAGCTATAGATATATACGTGGGGTGTATTATTTGGTTTTGGGGTGTAGGCATTAAGGTAGCTCTTGGCAGCATTATACAAAATTTCTCTAGTGGGGGCAGTGTCTTCTTTGGCTTGCATCGCTTTAGTCAGAAACCAGTGTCTATCTCCGGTTGTGTCATCCTAGAAGGATTCTCACCATCTTTTTTTTTAAAATTATTTTATTTTACTCATTAATTATATAACTTTTTTTCATTTAGTGTCAACCAGTTAATGGAGAATGCTAGCTGAGATTATAGGATGGATATATGTCAAAAATCACTTCCTTATTTCCTTTTATCAAAAAAATTACATCTTATATATTCTATTTAGTAGGTTGGTTAATTATAACACATTGCTGCAATTCATTAATTAAAAGATATAGGAAACTGAGATATAGATTAGGCAATCTATGCAAAAACTTATGTTTTATTTTGAAATCTCAAAATTTCATACATCACCTTCATGTCTAAGGCTTATAGAACACCAAAATAACATTTACTTAATTAACCATTCAATATTTTAAAGATAAGAAGAAAAAAAAAATGAAATTAGTCATTCATTTCATACTACTACTAGGTTTCCTTTCCTAAATCCTGATTATATGTATTGACACAACCCAAAAGCTAATATCAACTCTTTTTTATTTTATTTGAGATGCATGTCGGGTCTTATTTTTTAGTTTATTTATGATTACTCATACATCATACTACTCAAGTTTAAAATTTTTTATTCTTTATTTAAAGTAAAGATGGTCTTTCAACCGAAACATTCACAAAAATTACAATAACAACTTGTTAACTTAAAATTGTATCTTTTTTGCAATCCCCATATCACCTAGTGATGATCACGCTATTTATTGGACAATAAATAAAATATACCCAATTATAAAATTCGATCATCTACAAAACAACAAATACTAATATTAATATAACCATTTCCTCTGGAAAAAAAAAAAAAAAACTGTATACTTTTTTGACTGGTGGCGTGCATGACAAATGATGGTCCAGGCATGGCTTAATGGTTATTTTGTATGATACCTCTGAGATTTAATGTTATTTTTAGTGGTTCCTTGGAAGGGTCCCCACCTGTTTTTTTTGAACGTTGGGGACTAAAAAGCTGAATCTTGCCCAATTAGGGCTACAGACAAACTTTCTAAAACTTCGTTCCCTTTGTTGAAGAAAATGCCCACACAGTGTGTATTTGTAGTAAACCCCCAAAAAAAGCACTAATTATGATGATTGGTCTAATTATTAGGTCGGGACCCACACAAAGATGCCAAACTTTTTGGTGATTAGATATTGATTGCAGCAATTTCAAGGCACCGCAGTCCCGACATGTCTGTCCTCAAATCATGGCCATTGAATTCGCTTAATCATGATTAGTACGGTAATCTAGTATGATGCACTATTCGTGGGGTTTTGTTCTCACCTCATCATTACCGTTGGTGGTGTTCTTTGACCATGAGTGCGGTCGTGATTCGGTGCTTGGACTTAAATGATTTTAGCTGTTTGGGCCTCCATGGCACAAAACAAACCCAGCCTTAAAGTTTGGCCCAGAATATTAGTAATCCCAGTACCGGGCCTTACATAAAAAGAGGAAAAAAAAAATAGATTTTTGGAGACTCAGCCTCTCTGAGTTCATTCAGTTCAGCCCAATAAAAGGTGTATGTCCATACCATCCACTTTTGTACCTGTTGAGCACAAGTAACAATTTTTCGTCTCAATATGTTGTTTTCTTTTTCTCTAAAAAGAAAAAAGATATTAAAAAAGAGAGAAAAAAAAAAAAAAAGAATCATTTTCATCATCCTCTTTCCCCTTTCCATTACAACATAATACAAGGATCATGGTAAGTCCTGTTTGTACCTCAATACAACTTGTTAAGGGCAGGAGTTGGAGAATCTCCCAACTTTAGGGAAAATTGCCCCCTTTTCCAGGGAGACCTGAAGACTTGCCATGACCTTTGTCAATGATGTCCATGCAATAGGTGCACAGCAAAAAGCGTAGCCAAAAACAGCTAGAGCTCTCATGACCCCATCTGGATACCAAGGATATGCCATGACAAGGAGGGACCCGAAGATCCCCAGCGCTGGAACCAAAACTGGCAACATTGGTAGCAAAAACGCATTCACTGCTACAGAGCAAAGCGCGAAGGTGCCCAGGAAATATAATACCCATCCAACCAATGGATGGATTGTGCAGGGTATAAGGAAGAAGGGGACTGTATAGGCTGCGAGAATAGACCAAATTGCTATGACCTTGAGGCCGGTTTGCATTAATAATGAGCTCTTGTCTGACCTTCGGTAGCACAGTTTTGACATGTTGCGACGTGCCAGGCGTGTCACCACCATTATCCCCAAATATATTACGGATTGGATTAGTACCATGGATACCTCGGCACCATATCTGTACCAAAAACCCGATGTTAGTAACAACTCTTCAATCTGAGATCAGTATACAGCAGATTGTAGTTTATTGGACTTACCCTAGAGTTTGACGGCGTTGCTCGTGCCATTGAATGCCTAATGGCAAAACAGGCCATGCCCACCAATACCATGGCTTGAGCCATGGAGCACCAGGGAAAGTGATGACACTGTTAGGTCCACAGGGTACATTCCAGCGAAGTCTGAGATCTATGGCCACAATAAAAGATGATTTAGATAAACAACAACAATAACTAATAGTCAATTAAACATATAGACTCAATTATATCATCGCCTACTAAATTGAGATAAAATTGCTGCAATTGGTAAACATATATACTAACTTACAATAGTAAGAGGCATCCATTTGATAGCCCAAAGGAAGTCTATAATGTCCGTCAAGCTTGGTGCCATTAACAGGGGGGTGGAACATTGGACGGTCAAGCAATTGAGGGAAGTAGCTAGTAATGAAACCCTGGTCGGCACCATCTCTGTTCTCCCTCCCAATTTTCAGCTCATGAATCATGTCATTGTACACATCCATCGACGGCTGAAAATAGATAGGATGAGTCAGAATATAGAGCCCTATTTTAATCCAATAAAGGCAATACATGCTTTTTCTATGGTAGAATTTAACCTGCAATACAAAGAGGCCAGTGTGGAAGATGCAGGGGTTGATAAAGACTGCACAGAACTGTCCACATTGGAACAACTCATCGGTTTTTTTGATGAAGAGATTGTCTGCATCGAGCATCACAACTCTGTCATAATCCACAAGACTCCATGCGTAGAGTTTGTTTAGTGTTAACTTGAATCTCTTGTTGAAATAGGGCTGGTTCTTGTACGGATTATTCAGATTCGGCACCCTCACCACCCTTGCCCCATCCTCATCTTCCCTGTATACACCAAAAAACAAAGCCCATCGATTTCACCGGAGTCAGAAGGTGATTCATTGACACAAAAAGAGGTAAATTTCACTTTGTACAAATTAATATAATCTATATTCTAGATAAGCTAATAGTTTTGCAATGGCCAGAAAAACTGCTCAATGTACAAGCCTGTTCCACATGCTTTTGCTTTGAAGACTACTATTATGGAATCCCATTTGTATACTGAGGATTTTTAGTCAGCAGATTAGTTCAATGTCAAACTCGGATGGTTACATCTGCCTGAGCTGGATGACAAATGGGAACCCCATAAAATCAAACCGCCCATATGAAAAAATTGATAATATATATTCTTTTTAGAAGAGAAGTCTAACTAGAATTGTAACAAGAGACCAAGAAAAGGTGTGACCATAACAACACTAATATGGATTGGATTAGTAGTTTTCGAGTCACCAAGCGTAAAAAAAAGACAAAGAAAAAAGGCACCACTTTTACGTCTGTCTTTGGAGTTTTCTATAAGCATATGCTTAGACGAAATGCCATTGAAAACCAAGTTAGTGAATAGATGGAGGAAAGAAAGAAGCTGTCAAACTTACAAGAAAACATGTTCATTAAACCTAACGTTCCACATTTTTCTAGTGCTCAGTCATCTAAATTCCCCCGGCCCCGTCATGCCAAGTGCCAATTAAGAGATGACACGTTTAAATATGGAAACATATTTCCCAAAAATATGGGAAATTATCGACTAAATTACTAGTATTTAAAGTTTATGCTATGAGCATATTCTTCTCTTGTGACTATTACAATAGTCCTAACCTAAACTACCAACTGTAATGTCCCAAATGCTTCACCCTCAAGGCCTCTAGATTGGGGGCTTTAGATTGGGAGTCCTACTCCACCACTAAGGACTTTAAATGAAATTTCCCCCCTACCCAATTGCCTACATCAAGAAGAAGAAGAAAAAAAATGGATATGAATATGTGGTACCTTATTGCTTAAACAATTCTATTCATCTTGGTCCTTAAAAGTATAGAAATATATCTGTCAAAATTAAAAGCTAGAGTAGTTCGAAAAACATTAAATTGACCCATAAATAAAAAACAAGGTAGTAAGCCCCTCGATATTAAAATTATTTCATTTAAAATTTATTTTTACAATTTAGAGTGATCCAAACCAAACGGAGAAAAGGAAAAAGAAAAAGATAAACACATTAAAATATGTTGTATTTTTCGAAAAAGACTAAAGATGAACGTGCCTTTTTTTTTCTTGTGTGTGTGTGGATATTTCTGTAATTTGGTTTAGAAAAGAACTCCTAATTGAAGGCTCTGATAATGCGTTGGGCCAAAGAATAGAAAGCGAAATTATTGGGGAACTTACATGGCGCGAACCCAACGGAGAGGGACGTCGACGGAGGCAATGACGACGAGATCAGCATCCACACCGAGGCGGACCAGCGATCTGATCAAGACACGTGTAGCTACATAGAATTCGTAGTCTCTCGGCGTCCCCATGTACATCATCGTAGCATACGCGTTTCTGTGTCCCGGCTTCACTCCACTAACCTCCGCCGCCCTTGTCTCCGCCACCACCAAGATCGCCAATAGCAAGACGCCCAACAGACCAGCACCCCGTCTCCTCTCCCCTGAACCCATCTTCCTCTCTCTTATATGAACCTGTTGCTTCCAAAAAAAAGCAGGAAAGACTTTTTGGGACAATCAGACTGTCGATTTTTCTTCCTCTTTTTAATGGGTTTTGAAGCTCAATAAATTTTGAAGAGGAAAAAAAACAGAGGGGAAGAGAGATGGTGGTGGCAAGAGGCAAGTGGAAGAGGAGGGCGCTTAAAAGACGTGCATTTTCTGATTTTATTACGAGTAGTCGTAAATCTTTAAAATAATAAAGTCTGAGATTTGTTTTTGTACTTTGTCGTTCTCGGTGTTTCTGATGAGTAATTCTAATACAAAATCTCAGCCGTCGGTTTTAATGACTTTCACAATGTAAAGTCTGGACTCGGCCCCAGCTGTACGGCCTCCAAAATTGACATTTCTTTGTAAAGAATGCTAAAAAAATAAATCTGAGTAGCCGAGTCAAAAACAGCTCTAGCTTGTTTAGAAAAATAATTTTTTTTGGCATTTGAATTGAAATGTAATATGGTTGGTTTTTCTTGTGTACGCAGCAGTTTTCGTTGAGAGACCCACCCATCATTCTGGTGCGTCACAGCTGATTGAGTCCGGAGTAATCGGGATGAAGCCCCGATACCGGACGGGAAACCAAAAAAAAAATATGGTTGGTTTTTTCTTTTTTATTAATTTATTGCTGGAAATAGAACTTCTAATTATTGAACCTCAATCTCTTAAATTTAATGATGAACCGTTCGACCCATTTGATTGGTTCAAAATGTAATATAATTAGTTATCAAAAGAAAATGTGAAATATTATATATTTACAGTATAATTGATTATTTTTAAAAAATAAGTGGTAATATTATAGTAATAACACTAAGTAAGATTATAAATTTATAATTTTAAATAATATTAAATAAAATATAATACAATATTAAATGTATGAATATATATAATATTTTGATAAACCCTAATTATATAATTATATATTATGTTGTAAATTTATAATATTATATAATATTATAATTATAATATTTTTAATAATTATTTATGTTCATTTTCCCTAAAAAACGAAAAAAAGAGCTTTTTTTTAGAAAGATAACAATATAATGTTACTATCAATTATATCACATCACAATTTTTATATAAAAAACTTATTTGAGCTATTTTTGGATGAAGAATTCCAGATTTTTTTTACCTTTCAAAAAAAAAAAAAATCTAGATTTTTTTTTTCCCAGAATCCATGCCAATCAAACAGGACTTAGATCTTGGGCGGAAAGGACAATTAAAGGGCACGTGGTGTGATGTGGGGGAAAACATAGGGTAGGCTGCAATTACAAGATATCTACCCAGCACCAGGTTGTCTTTGGATTCTGGTCTGGTGGCTTGGCTTGGGGGTTGGACTTTGGACTCGGGAGGATTGGGGTGGGGCTTACGCGTTACTGGATGTGGATTGGGTTTGCACGACTGAATTCCGGTTAAGACATCGCTTGTTTCTCACTTTGTTTCTCACTTTCTCAACTTTCGGTTAGATTCACTTTTCCGTTTCTTGTTTGGGGATTTTTTTTTTTTAATTTTTGTAAAAAATAATTTAAAAATAATTTATTTTTATTTAAATAATTCACTTTTTTTATTTATTTAAATATCATGATATTAAATATATTTATTTATTTAATAATATGTAAAAATGATTAATGATCTAAATAATTCAGTGATAATCTCTTTTCATCGAAAGTAAGTGATCTTGATTTTAAATCACATAACATGCGAATGGAGTGAGATAATACATGAAAAATAATTATTTTTCATTGTGTAACCATAATAATAATAATAATATGTAAAAATTGAACCGGGCTTTTAAAGTTTAAACCCAATGGTTCAATCCAAAACCTTAAATGTTTGGGTGAAGTGGTCGGAGTTTCGAGTTCTACCACCGTCGTGAATTTCACCAAAAATGGGTTGATAGTTGCGCGCTCTTATTTGAGGGGTGAAATGTTCACGCGGTTTGAAGATCGAATCCTCAGATATTAACAATTAATTCATACTAACTTTTTAATCATTATTCTTGTAAAAAAAAATAATATGTAAAAATTATATAAAAAAGTAATATAAAAATTTCATTCTATCGCACCGTCCCTTTTTTTATTGGGCAAAGTTCGGGATGTTTTTGACCTGGATAAATTTGTCGGCTGACTGCTCGGTCCAATGCGGGTAGAGAGCAATACTAGCAGTATCCAGAACTTTGAATGCTTCCCGCACATAGCGTTATCCATCGGTGATGAGGCAAGTGTTATTTCTTTGAAGCTTTCAATACATCATATGTGGAATGCACTCTCAACTCAAGTCTCAACAATATTAATTAAAGTGTGTAATAATTGACTGTCGTGAACATTTTACGCGTAACTTCAATTAATGTTTTTATATTGTATTAAGATATGAATAATAATAATAAAAATTTTAATTTAACTAAATTATTTAACATAAATTATTACATCTGATCCTTTGGATCAATGGATAACCTGCTAGTTTAAAGTATATTTCCCTTTTTTTATGGGCGGACTTCAAATCCACCCCGTGACAACTTATTCAAAAAAAAAAATTTAACATAAATTATTATATATGAAAAGTTTAGTAAAATAATTAATATTATATAATAATATTATTTAAAATTACACGAAGAAGTTTAAATAAGAAAGTGAAAAAATCGAGGTAGGTGGTAATTAATTTTACTAGAAGGCATGGTTTTTACCATTGAGCCAAGTTGCCAAGCCAAAGAATTTTTTACCATCTTTTATTACTCCAGTGAGTTGCGTGCCCCCTTTTTCCATGGAACCAACACCCAAAATAGCAAAATCCACTCTCTCTCTCTCTCTCTCTCTCTCTCTCTCTCTTATCTCTCTGTTTATTTGGTTTGAAGGAGGGTGCGAAATTAAATCAATCTTTGTTGAAAGCCAATCATACAAATTTTAAATTTTTTAATTTTTTGCTTTCAATGACACCAACCATTATTACATTAACGAGGTCTATTTATATATAAATTTTATATATTATAATCATATAAAATTTTAATTATTTATTTTTTTATTATTGATAATTAAAATTGATTTATATTTATTAAAATTAATTATTTTTTTCACCTAAATAAATCATAATAAATTTCAACTATTAAAAATAAAAAATAAAAATTTTATATAAATGTAATATTTAAAACTTATTTACAAATAAATCTTTTCTCTCAAGTTATATATACATTTTAAAATTTTTGTGTAAGTAATCATGCAAAAACAAATAATCATGGTATCACGCTTCATGCCGTTTGGCATATTCTTTTAACTTACTTGTAAAATTGTAACACTTAGTAATCAAACATATAAATGATGGCGTGCTTTTCGCCCACTCTCTATGAATGGGTGGCTAAATATAAACAACAATGATGTGCCATGCTTTTCGGATGGATACCGTGTGCTTTTGCACTTAGCTTGCAACCATTGTCACCAACCAGATTATAATCTTAATTAATTAAGCTCAATAATGGATTATTACCCTCAAATGACAGGGCAAATTAAACATTCCGGCTGCTGATTCAGCAGTACCCCAGCTTATAATGCCTTGAATGTGAAAAAAAAAAGAAAAGAAGTCATTATCATGATTTCGAGGTTAATGTTGAATCCAAGTGGATTATCAAAATTGCTAATTGAGATTTCCACCGACCCTTCCACATCAACAGAAAGTCAGCAGAGATGTTTTTGACGTTTTCACCACCCCCATCATGCATTTCTGAAATTAAAGGAAAGGGTAATGGGAAAGGAAAGGAAAGGAAAGGAAAGGAGAGGAGGGATTATTAATATAATGAAACTATAAAACAATGGGGGTCAATTTTTTTATTTAATCAAGGAATTAATTATTAATTTTAAGAAAAATATTTAATTAGCACATAATAGTATAGTAACATAAATGTTTTTCTTTATATATTCTTGGAAAAATGAGTGGTGCTGCCGTCTTTGTGAATCAGGGGATGGTTGTAGCTGGGGACAGATAAAACTCTGGATATAAAATGCTTGTCTGGATGGGTTTTGGATTCTTGCAATCCAATTGACTTGTCACTTTTTTGCTGTTGTCAGTGTATATTTATCAGTTTTTAATTAATCTGTCGTTACTTCAGAGTCCAGCCCAGGCTCTTGATTTTTGGGTTCAGATTTTTTTTTTTGCCCCTCTGATATTGGGGTAGAGGCCAAGAAAGTCAGAATCCTATGTAAATACTCCATCCGAACAATTCAATTTCTATAAACTTAACTTTTAATATAAGATGTTTAAATTTAAGTTTGGTTTGAGAGTGTTAGATTGTAACTTCATTTATAGGTTTTGGTCTTTTAAAATATTAAAAATATATATAATATATTTAATATTTATTTTAATATATTTTGAAAGTATTAAAGATATAAAAACTAAAAGTTAAAATATAGATTCAAATGAAACCTCAATTGTTTATGTACTTTTTATTTTTAAGATATTATTTAATATGTTTATTTTTATCTTATCATTATTTTTTAAAAATAATTACAAATATATATTAAATAAAAAGACTTATTTAAGTAGTGATTAATTAAGAATAATATACTATAAAATTTAATTAATTAATTATTATTATTCTATTTTATTAAAAAAATTAAAATTAAACTGAGGAAGTATATTTATGATTTATTCTTTTTTATTTTGTGAGAATTATTATGTATTCATTGATTTGATACTATATAGATATTTTGAAACTCAATTGTGAAAAATATATTGTTTTGTGGGTATCAACTTCACATTTCAAATGAGAAAACATGCACTTTGCAACGCACCCATCACCAAATAGATCTTGGTTAAAATTTTAGAACTCTCTGCATTAGATGCAGCCCAGCAGGTATATATTTGAGCCTTAAGTCTGGGTTTTCTTCAATCAGACAATTCTGGGCTTGATCAAGGTTAGTTACAACTTACAATCTGGTATGTTTGGGCTGATTGTGGCTTAAAAGAGGCTTTAGCCCCAAATAAAATCCACAAAACAACTAAAATAAACTTGTATCCCTAAACATGTGTAGTGCTTCTGGGCTCTGGCCCAAAGGAAAAGCATATAAGGTTGAACAATTTATAAACTCCGGTGCTATAGTATCTAATCCATTGGGTTGGTGAGGGTGCAAAAGTCACCAACCATTCGGCTTAAGAAATAAGGTGCCAAAGCATGTGGACTTAGGTAATTCCTTAACTACTCTCAACGGCCATTGGTGTCAACCACCCCCTAAAAAAAACGAGGTGGATGAGAGATTTAGGGAGAATGCACGCCTCGATGAGTGAAGTAGATGCAATTACTTTCTGAGATGATTTTGGTTTTAGGAAGGGGTCTGTTCAAATTGAAAACAACTAGTAATGCCTATGAGGGCTGCAACTCAAGTCCCAAATTGAAAACTTTGCCATATACTACTTGCAAGGGACATTTCCCCAAATTAAACGCAGGTAACTAAAATAACAGAAGTTGCAAGTTCAACTGAAATGAAATTTTTTGGGAAAAGTCAAAGACCCTCACCTATCACTCACAATCAAATCTAAAAACATTCTTTTAGAGAGAGAGTTGAAAAACAATGACTAAATAAAACTGAAGGAACAAACACTTAAAGACAGGCTGCTTACCCAAAACAAAGCTCAATAAACATCCCTGAATGGTAGGCGTCAGAGACAACTAAAATGACATTTACAGTGGGATCGAGAAAAATGAGGTAAAATAAAAGAAAATAAGAGATTTTCTTCATTTAGCTGGACGAAAAATCTCCTTTCCTTTTCCTTCGATTCAAATGCTATAAATATTATTTCTTAAATTCTTATAATCTAAGAAACTTGGGTAGGAAACGGGTTTTTTGGATTTGATTTATATTTATATTAATGTTGGAGACAATGTGTTGGATAAACTTTAAAGAATTCATTGCTCGAACAGAATACTTGGGGAAATATATTTGCATTGCCTACACACCAAACTTTCAATACAATTAATCATTAATTTTTTCCAATAAGCAAAACATGTGCGAGATAAAAGTTCTGATGATTCCCATATAACATATATATAGG